ACTGTACCTCATAAACTGCCAATATACCCTGTATACACTGACTGTACCTCATAAACTGCCCGTATACCCTGTATGCACTGACTGTACCTCATAAACTGACCATATACCCTGTATACACTGACTGTACCTCATACACTACCCATATACCCTGACTGTACCTCATAAACTGACCATATACCCTGACTGTACCTCAAACTACCCATATACCCTGTATACACTGACTGTACCTCATAAACCTCCCATATACCCTGTCTACACTGACTGTACCTCATACACTACCCATATACCCTGACTGTACCTCATAAACTACTCATATACCCTGTATACCCTGCCTCTATCTCATAAACTGCCCATATACCCTGACTGTACCTCATAAACTGCCCATATACCCTGTATACACTGACTGTACCTCATAAACTGCCCATATACCCTGTATACACTGACTGTTCCTCATAAACTACCCATATACCCTGTATACAGTGACTGTACCTCATAAACTGCCCATATACCCTGTATACCCTGACTGTACCTCATAAACTGCCCATATACCCTGTATACCCTGCCTCTATCTCATAAACTGCCCATATACCCTGACTGTACCTCATAAACTGCCAATATACCCTGTATACACTGACTGTACCTCATAAACTGCCCGTATACCCTGTATACACTGACTGTACCTCATAAACTGCCCATATACCCTGTATACCCTGACTGTACCTCATACACTACCCATATACCCTGACTGTACCTCATAAACTGACCATATACCCTGACTGTACCTCATAAACTACCCATATACCCTGTATACACTGACTGTACCTCATAAACTGCCCATATACCCTGTATACACTGACTGTACCTCATACACTACCCATATACCCTGACTGTACCTCATAAACTACTCATATACCCTGTATACCCTGCCTCTATCTCATAAACTGCCCATATACCCTGACTGTACCTCATAAACTGCCCATATACCCTGTATACACTGACTGTACCTCATAAACTGCCCATATACCCTG